TTTATTACTTAGTGGAAACACTGCCGTTGTGAAACTGTTTTTCGACATTAACAGAATATCGACAAAGTTTTGCGCACATTTGTAATGAAAACGCAGCTAGACTCAGCGAGGACATCTTTCCTGAAGAAACTGTAACAGATAAAGACTATGTGTCCTGATGGAAACCCAGTTCTCCTTGCTGTCCAGGTGTTGTGTAGTGGTGTTAAATAGTTTTAGCATAAGGCTTTTATTTTGAAAGGATATGAAATTATTCTTTAAACCTTCGTCCCTGCAGACTCTTATAATAATTCTCTTGTTCAGTTTGGTTTCGGATCTCTCGATCCAACAGAACCAGAGCGGTTTTGCGTCTCATGGCCATCTCCCTGCGCTGAGCATCAGCTGATGCAGCCACCTGTGGGTGGGGCAGTGCCGGGGAGGGGTCAATGGTGGCGGCTGGCGATGCTGATCGGCGTGGACCAAAGCTGCTGCCACGGGCAGAGGAGTTTCCTCCGTTCCGCTTGTTCAGGTCATAAGAGTCTCGTGGGTCATCTCCATTGGACACCATCATCCAGTCCCAGGAATTCCCATTGCCTGCTAAGGGCGGGGCTTGGGGAGGGGGTGGGGCCTGCACTAGAGGATGGTGAGGGGCGTGTGCATCCACGGTGATGATACCCGGCCCCTCCCGCTGGTTCTCAGAGGAGGTGCGGCAGAGTGGAGAGTCCATGGAGGAGGTGCCGGAGCAGGTGGACACAGTCTCTGAGGAGGGAAGGAGGCCCTGCTGCTTGGACATGGCGATGACCTGCATGAGTCGAGGCTGGTTGGCAGCACTGCGGCCGGAAACCTCCCCCCCGGCCTTCTCCCGGATGGACAGCCACTTGGCCCGCGTCAAAGCACTCTTTGGAGACACTGGTGGGGGTCCAGCTTCAGGGATCTGTGGGGGTCTGGGAGTTACTACAGCTTTGGCACCACCAGGAGGAGGTGTGGGGTTGCGACTGGAGCTCACCCTCACAGTCTGGACCGAGGGCTGGTAGATGGGAGCCTGAGAACCTGTGTCGTCAGTTCCAGTGGAACCTGCTTCTGAGCCATCTTCACTGGGTTCTTCCTCATCCCGGGGTCCCACGCCTCGCATCTCCATCGACTTCTGCTTCCACTCTGATACCAGCTGCTGAGACCGCATTGGGTCCAGAGGGACCTGCACGGCTTTCAGACGCCGCTGCACAGGATGGGCCACTTGAACCGGCTCAGCTGGGGTCTCAGTGGAACACAGAGCTCCGTTAGCATTCATGCTAGCTCTTGGAAGCGTGTTACTGAAGGTCAACATGGTCTCCTTCCCCATGGGGCTCCGAGGGGCCAGCAGCTCAATGTCCGCACTGGCCCTCTTCAGGCTCCCCATGGAGCCCTTCTCCCTCTGCAGGGACCCCAGAACCTCCAACCGGTCCAAGGGGGCCGGAGCAGCTGCAATCTCATCGTTGCTCTCTGAGGCTGAGGCGGGGCCCTTGTGATAGACCGACTCGTGTCCTCGCTCAGTCAACGCTCGCAGAGGGTCTTTCTTTGGGGGTGGAGGGGGTGTGGTCTGAATGACATCATCAGACGATTTGAAGTTGGCGACGGCGTGAAAAGCCTGCAGGATGACAATCAGACATCAGGTAAAACAACTGGAATCACCACAGGAAGCTGCGTGTGCTTCAGGTCACACAGGTGTGTGTTCTCACCAGGTACGCAGCGATGAAGGCTCCAATCAGGAAGCCTACATACACATCAATGGGATGGCTGCGGTGCTGAGTGATCTGGGTCAAGCCCGTTAATGCTGATGCCATGGCAAACATGAACACCAGGACCGGTTTCAGCAGCTTGGTGCTGTCCGAGATGGTTGAGTTAAAGTACATCTGAAACAGAACCAGGTTTAAACCATCAGAACCTGACAGATAACAATCAGAACCTGACAGATAACAATCAGAACCTGACAGGTAACCATCAGAACCTGACAGATAACCATCAGAACCTGAGAGATAACCATCAGAACCTGAGAGATAACCATCAGAACCTGAGAGATAACCATCAGAACCTGAGAGATAACCATCAGAACCTGAGAGATAACCATCAGAACCCGCTTATTTGCCTTATTAATTAATCAAACCAATGTGTTCGTCACCTAATCAGAGAACGTTAGGTTTGTTAACACTTACTGACACATAAACGGCAGCAAACGCAGACAGAGTTGCATGCTGGGATGGAAACGTTCTCCTATAGGATGAAACAAAACAACAGTCAATATTCAGTAAGCAGCTGCAGGACAATCCTAACAGGAAGTGWGATGCACACCTGGCCGTCATGATGGCATGCTGGTCGTGTCCCGAGCAGATGTCTTTAGTGATGTAAATGTTTTGGTCACATGACGCGCCGGCCAGGGTGTAGTTGGGTTTACATACGGTGAGGAAGAATGGAGCATGGTAACCTGTCGCCAGCTGGATGATGTCAGTAAGCAGCGCTGTCGCACAGAGACCAAACACATGCACACCTGCAAAGACAGACGGGGACAGGTATTCAGACAGTAGGAAAAGTCTACAGACAGGTGGACAGGTCTACAGAGAGGTGGACCGGTCTACAGAGAGGTGGACAGGTCTATAGACAGACCAGGACAGGTCTACAGACAGGTGGACAGGTCTACAGAGAGGTGGACCGGTCTATAGACAGACCAGGACAGGTCTACAGACAGGTGGACAGGTCTACAGACTGGTGGACAGGTCTACAGACTGGTGGAACGGTCTACAGACAGACAGGGGGACAGGTCTAAAGACAGACAGGTGGACAGGTCTAAAGACAGACAGGTGGACAGGTCTACAGACAGATAAGGACATGTCTACAGACAGACAGGTGGACAGGTCTACAGACAGACAGGTGGACAGGTCTACAGACAGACCAGGAAAGGTCTACAGACTGGTGGAACGGTCTACAGACAGACAGGGGGACAGGTCTACAGACAGACAGGTGGACAGGTCTACAGACAGACCAGGAAAGGTCTACAGACTGGTGGAACGGTCTACAGACAGACAGGGGGACAGGTCTACAGACAGACAGGTGGACAGGTCTACAGTGTCATGGTTTGTCTGTTTTCACC